TGGTGTCTGCGCTCCATCGATGAAGCGATTTCCTGGGCCAGGGAACAACACGTGCCAGTATCCAGACAAGTGAGTAATACTCTGAACCTTGACAGGCACGCTAAAGACCTCATTAGATTCCGCAACACGATTCGTAGGCAGTACCAGCGTACTGGTCTGCCTATCCTGAACACCAATTGCAACCGTTTGAACAAAATCATCCAAGCCAGGATGGTGGATCTCAGAAATGTAGACTTTGCAAACAAAATTCACTCTCTCCCAGATGGTGCTAAGCTATTCTGGAAAATGGCAAAGATTTTGAAAAATAAGTTGAGGCCCATTCCTCCCCTTTTCTCTCCTAACTAAAATTCGGATCCATCTTTGCTAATAACCCCAGTTGAAAAGGCCAATGCTCTTGGGCAACACTTTGTGCATTCACATAACCTTGGCCACGCCATTGTGAGTCCCCACGAGCCTGCAGTATCACAGGCAATGTCTAGAGTCGCTGCCACCCCCACAGTTGTCCTTGACGAAAGTAGAGTATCGACTGATGAGGTAATAGCAGCGATTAAATCAACCAAGAACATGAAGGCCGCTGGTGTCGATGGAGTGATCAACCTTGAGTTGAAAAATTTGAGTGTTGACTTCTTCAAGCACCTTGCAGTGGTCTTCAATAAGTGTTTGATGCTTGTCTACTTTCCTGCATGCTGGAAGTTATCCAAAGTCATTCCAATTCACACGCCTGGCAAAGACCCTACCAGTGCCAAAAGCTATCGCCCCATCAGCCTCTTATCATCCATCTCGAAGCTATTCGAAAAACTTATACTCAGCCGTCTGCTGGTGTTTTCAAATGATAATAACATCTTTCTCAAAGAGCAATTCGGGTTTGGGAAAGGCCACTCTACCATCCACCAACTCGCACAGGATACTAACATCATCAAGCGGAACAAGTCCGTTTCCAATACATCTGCCATGGCATTGTTGGACGTTGAGAAGGCGTTCGACAATGTCTGGCATGATGATCTAGTGTACAAGCTATATCGATACAACTTCCCGATCTTCCTTGTAAAAATCATCAAAAACTACTTGTAGGACAGATCATTCCAGGTCTTCTTGAACAATACTCCCTCTGATACGTTCAACGCAGATGCTGGGGTTCCCCAGAGTAGCCTCCTTGGTCCTTTCCTTTTCAACATCTTCACGTCAGATGTTCCTTCCCTTCCGGGTGGTGGTATTTTGTCAATGTTTGCGGATGACACTGCCATCATCTATAAGGGTCGAGTGATCCGTGCTCTGACGAGAATACTCCAATCAGGCCTGGATGTTCTGTCCGACTATTTCAAAAGCTGGAAGATTTGTATCAATGCAGCTAAAACACAGACCATACTATTTCCGCACTCCAACTCACCTCGGCTAGTTCCGCCTGGTAACTCAAAAGTCCACCTTGATAACACTCTCATTGAATGGTCGAGTGAAGTAGTCTACCTTGGTCTCACTCTTGACAGCAAGTTGCTATTCCGGTCCCATGTGGACAAAACATCCACCAAGGGCAACATCTTGATTAGGTCGCTCTACCCACTTATCAACAGAAAGTCCACCCTTTCCCTGTGCTATGTGCCATCACCTCAAACTCCAAAGAATCCAGAACAAGATCCTTAGGATGATCCTAAACAGTCCTCCAGGGACCCGAAATTCTGAGGTTCACCGCCTGGCTGGCCTTCAGCCTCTCGAAGAGCGACGAACGGTCTCCTTGGAAAAGTTCAGATACACCTGTCTGAGATCAGATCTTCAGATCAACAAGAGCCTATTGAAAATTGGTAATTTTCAAGCTTTGTCCAAAAGGGTCGAAATAACTAACAAATCCACCAATTACGTACATGCATATGCTGCTTCCCCAACACTGTCATCAGAGAGTCGTTTGTAGACGAAACAAGTTGAAGTGGCCGCCTCCGATCTTCTGTTGTGTGCAGATAGGGGGATGCAATTGCGTAACATTTTGCAAACTCATCGCCATATTCAACACCGACCACACAAAATGCTCTCAAGTGTTGCAATCTCGTAACCAAACTTGGAAGCAGGGGTGCAAGAGATTTTCATCGATTCTCTTCATTGACTTTTTGTTTCATTAATATCTCGACGGCAAACACATTCATTGATACGTTTGTTGTTCTGGATGATAGAAGAGCATAGGAGAAATAGTGAGAAATAGGTTAGTGAAGCCCAAGGGCCTGACATGCCACCTTCTTTCCGTAGCCACCATAAAAACGTGATCACATGTCAATCCAAGTTACGATGTTATTAGTAGAGATAGGGGTGCCACCTCCTTGGTGAATCCATGGTTATCAAAAGAGGAAATCGATGAAAAGAATAGACTTTCACCCCTCTGCTTCTAAGTTCCTTAATTCAGTCGTCGTTATTGCAATGAAAACTAGCATCGAACCGCTTTTGGTTCATGGGTTACACTTGCTGGTTGAAATTCTACTGTTCGGCATTTTCGAAGGACCTCCTAAAAACATGAAATTACTCTATTTTCTAGGGATGCCTAAAAGTCCAATTATTTGATTAACGATTAACCATAAAGATTTTTCCAGCTATTCGATCAAATATTCATCGAATTTTCCATTATTCGAGCGCGTAACCGAGATCCCTCCTTTTTCGATTCATTTGATTTAGCGCAGTAGAGGAAATAAATAAAAGTGTACTAATTTATCTGCACAGGCATCGATAAGAACCATGACGTGACACAGAATCATTAATTCGCCGAAAAAAATGTTAAGCATCTTTCTGCTGAAGGCTAAGATTAATCAACTTGTTGAGAGAAGGAGTTTAACGAGAAAAAACTAAAAATGGGAGGAGCTTTAGCTGGGTGGATACTGACATTATGCGTCTGCATTCCAACTTGTCGCAGACACCATTTCAACCCCTGTCCAGCGGCAGACGGGCCGAGACTCTTGCGAGTGCCCAATCATTGAGCCAAAGAATATGGGATTGTCCGGTCCGATTTGCTCATCCAGCTGCCTACACGTCATCATTATCTTCCAAAGGCTTTAAGCCTGTACTAATTTCGACCCTCCGGCTTACGCCTTTCGGCCACTGAGAAGCTGTTTCGAAGCCAAGTAGAACCTTCATTCGTCCCATAATTAGTTCCATCATTCGTTGAGTCGCAGCGTTGAGCCTGACTATTGGCCATGAAAAGGCTTGCCAATGCTTTTCAAAAATAGACTACATACATCCGAACATTTGTTTATCTCATATCGAAGGAACACATTCCGCGCAACTACCATAAACCGGACTAAGGCATGTTGATCTTCGTCAAGCTTCGTATACAATTTGGACTTCTTCATCAACACATGTCAGGCAGCCTTCAGGATTAATAGACTAAACTTGGTGAGTTCGTTCCGTTGTGTAACTTTGTATATTTTCAAACCAGTATCGTTGGGTGATCACCTTTTTGTGGTGCGTTACTGGTATAAGATCTACCACCGAACCTTAGTTGTGACAACTTTAAACTAGGGTATCAGGATTTTCCAGTTATCAAAGCATCACACTTTAGTCCTTGTTACTTTTTATAACTTGATAATAGTGACAATACTCGGGTAGTGACCACCGCACCGTTATGCATTTCTATATTGTATATTTCAAATAAAAAATATTGTTTATGTTCATAAATTTCACATAATCCTTTTTACTTTGTCCTTCTCCTTTTCCTTGCCCTCTTCTATTTTCAGAAAGCGAGTAATGGCGCTATAGCCATAAGTCATAAAAGGCTAGGACAAGAGTTAGTGCTCATGCCCTAACCGTCAGAAGAAAATGGAGCATCACTTAACCTTTCTAGCTTTGATGCTTCCAACGACCAATCAATCATATAATTACCAAAATCGGAACGTACGGTACGAGATGTCCACGTTTCATCCGATGTTTTCTGAATCATCTTGCCCCTTAAATGCTGCACAGTAGGCCTGGCCGTTTTGATGTGTGTGACGCATCTTTGATGTGAAACATATATCAAATATACAAGAAAAATTATGTAGGTATATGTATAATTTTCCAGGATGCTTTCAAGAACTTGCTGTGTTGGTGTTAGATTAGATTAGCTTAGATGACCACCTTGGTAGGATTGATTTGTGTTAAATTGAAAAAAAAAAACTCATATTGATCCACCGGGCAGGTGAATAGAACCTTTGTTATACAGTATAATCTCTTTTTTGATATTATTTCTTGATAGAAGATGCCTTAATAGTTGTTTTTCTTTTTATTGGTCTCAGTTTCTACATAGCCCAATTGAACACCAAATCCGCGTACGACACAATCGATCGAGATCATCTATGGCAGATTATGCACGAATACGCTCCCAGAAAGTTGTCCATATTTTCAGAATGTAAACTTTCCTTATGTTCCCGTTTCAATATCTTGAACTTGAAAATGGAATACGATCTAAGACTTACTAAAATTAAGTAAGTGTTAAACTTCAACGTTTAATGAAGATTATTGTAAAGCTGTTTTTTTTAAACTGATTGTCACGTTTAAAAAATAGCTTTCTTATTACAAACATCGAAATTATCCGTTAAAATTCTGGAAAACCTGGAAAATTCAGGAAATTTTATTTCGCCAAATCAGTTGATAGAGAAAGACGATTAAACGTCAAAACACAACACCTTCAAATTTTTCGAAAAATATAACAACAAGTGGGCATGGATTGGACAATCAGATCCAAGAAGAATAATCTATCTTGAAATAAATTCACGTAAACAAAGTTGAAAATAGCGACTGATTACAAGAAAAAGTGACTTTAGTGACTTAGCCTTTAAAAAGGAGACTTTTTAGTGACTGGCTTGAAAAAAGTGACCAAGTCACTAAAAAGTGACTCACTACCAGCCCTGCAACTGTGAAAGTGCACAAAGAACACTATGTTCAAGATAAGTGTTCAGCATCAGTTAAGAGCTGTTGCAACATTATAGCCTAAGAAACGAAAAATGCCATTTTCCTATTTAAATCAGAACCCAAATTCGATATGCACTCACCGATGAAAACTCCATCACTTTCAGTATCCACAGCGTCAGCGCCAGATTGATGATGATCATAATCATCAGGATCAGTATCACTGAGTAAAGGCATTTCTTGCGCCATCCATACAAGGTCAACTGCACCCCTGCCGCGTCACTACTCGGTGTCACCGCACCATGCTGAGGCACTGTGGTCACCAGAGCAGCATTTCTCCCTCCCCCACTGTCACCACCGTAACTGTTCACAACATTTCCGCTGTGATGCACATTGTTACCGGCACTAGTACTACTATGAACAAAATTATTATTCGCACTACTATTCGGAATGGCATTACCGCCCAGTGCACTACTTCCACTGTTTCTGTTTGCAGGCATTTGAGTTTCCACCGGCTGATGGGTGCCACTACCAGGCGCCGTAGAGCTGGGCGTCGTCGTAGCGGTACTACTCGTCGGAGAAGGCCGGAAAGCAATCTTCAAACTGTTTGCCGTCACGTCCGGTTCCGTGAATAGTTTATTCCCAGGAGCTCCAAAATTGGCACTAGTACTTCCGATAATCCGAGGCGGTTGCGAAGGGTACAGCAACGAAGCTGCACCCAGAGAAGACGCAACGGGTTTACTGTTTCCTATGCCAGACAGCGTAGATGTGTTGGGACCGTATAACGGCCGTTTGAACATTCTTCCCTTATCCAAGCTGGAAGAGTTGGAGGTACCTGACCCCTCGGGTTCCACCGTCTGGCGTTGCAGTGGTTCCGTTTCGGACCTGGTATTACTGTCTTGTGGCGGTGGATTGAAAAATACAGATCGGGGGCCATCTCTGAAAACGGGAGAAAATAGAACCAGATTAGGAATTTTGCTTTCGGCTTATTGGTAAAGTTCATTTAGTATTCCATCAATCTTCTTCGAGCGTCGTATATTTCCCTATGCTCATAAATTCAAATCAATCTGTCCCACGGGAGGTTGCAAGCCACATTGCTGAGTGCTGAAAACCAAGAGTGCAATTTGTTATAGAATCATCATTATCATCATACTCGCACGCTTGTGCAGCCACACATTTCCACAGTCGGAGTCGGTGATCATCGTCAGCTGGTTGCACTCCCCGCACGCTCTTTCCATCTTATGGGCCGTGTAACGACGCTGATGATGGACTTTTAGACTGACAGGAAAACGGCAGCATTTGGCATCGCATCCACTAAACTCATTACTGCTGCCCAGACTTCCGCCAAAACCGGAGCTCATTTCGAAAACATTCATTACTCATCCCTTTGGTAATGGTAATAACAACAGTACCCGAGCAGGAACGAATATCTCGATATGTTAAATTGGTATGGATTAGTCTGACATAAGAGGTAAGGTATTGTTTTGGTATCCAAATGTTATTTTTTGCTATTTATTTGTATTATTCTTTGGTATTTTTCCTCTTATGTCAGGCTGATCAACACCAAAGTTTGTTATCAGAAACAGAATTAGGTATTCATAAATTATTTTCTCCTACTCGGGTACGCCGACTTACCACACGCACAGGGTTGAATCAGCTCCGATAATTAAACTTTTTAATAACATCGTGGAATTAACCGTTTACAACTCAACATCAATTCAATTCCTGTTTTCAAACAAATTAAATCAAACAACAGTCCAGCGTAAACATTCAAAAATTCCTTCCTGGAAGCGGGGCCTTCGCCACACTTTCCCCAGGGTTCGAGTCAATCATTTCATCGCACTCTCGTCCGATGCGTCGTTGTTGTAGTGTTGTTGCTACAACAAATCCCAGTGCAAATAAGCGTGTGTTTACGCTTGATGAAGAAGCAGAGCAGGCGGAGAACAAATGCCTTTCGGGTGTCGTTGGTCAGTCGGCCAAGTTGACCAGTTGAACGAACGGGGCGGGAACGGAAGTTGTGGAAGTTGCGGGTTTACGCCGCCCGTCGTGAGATACTGTATAGGGGTGATGCATATAATATGTCACGCTCTAAGGATATACGATTCTGTGACAAGTAATGCATTAGGAATAGGATACACGTGACGAAAGGAGGGAGGATAATGTTTCAAAAAAAATCGTGGATCGTAATTAATGTATGGTCCCATACAGACACATTTATGAGTGTATTAGGTACATACTGTAGTATCGAGAAGTGATTAGGAAGCAGGGGAAGTGTAGCAGAGCAAATATACACAAAATTGTAAAATTATGTTTGGATACAAAACCCAGCTGTTGTCGAGATGGTTTGCGAGTACATCTCCCGAGGTTGGATTGCTACTTATTTGGTGAAACTGTTGATGGCTTTATAGACCTGGGGGTCTGTTCATCTTGGTTCGGAAATCATGCATTACTTTTGAACCATTTATCATAGACGATTCTGAAAATTTACGAAATGTACAACATATTTTTCAACCATGCAAATATAACTACCTAAACTTTGATATTTATTTAATTACGCCGGGACAAATCATAATTTTTACGGGTAGGATAGCGTATCCTTCACGCAGCACTGTACACCATCCATCGTAGCCTAAATCAATTTCGTCAGTTTTCCGGGAAAACCGTTGTCGTCCATAATAGTAAATGTTCACAGTGTATAGTATCGTAAACGACTTTAAAATCGATGAATAGGTGGTGTGTAGGAACTTGGTATTCGCCACACTTTCGGAGAATCTGCCACAACGTGAAGATTTGGTCTGTTGTCGATCGCCCGTCCACAAAACCGGCTTGATAACTTCCCACAAATCTGCTTGTTAGCGGCGATAAACGGCGGAAGATGCTACTTCTGCAAACCTCTTCGCTGATTTCTTCCGAAGCGTTTTTGAGCTCGATCAAACTCCTCCGCAGCAGCAGTACATCGACCATTTACCGAACTACAACATTCGTCAAAAGCAGCTTAACTTCAGCACTGGCGTGCAAAGGGTGGGGCAAGATGGGGCAATTGAACCACCTTTTATAAAATAAGATTTTTATTTCCTCATTTTCAAAGTTATGATAAAAATATCTAGATTGCTTGATAACTTGATTTGAAGGTAAAATTGAAACCCTTTTATTGCGTCAATTCCTTTGAGATGGTGCCTGAAAATTGCACCACAAAGGTGCATGAATGGACAAACTTCAATGAAATGTTTTGGTCAAAAAATTGCATCACATTGGTGAGTACAATAAAATTCTAGTGTAATTTTCAAGGTTGTTCATGGAGGGTTAAAAAAAAGGGTAAATTTAAGGTTAAAAAAATTTATCTTCGTGGTGGTAAATCGAAGAAAAAGCTTTTTATTTAATATTTCTGGTGTAACAATATCATCAAGGTGGTGCAAGGTGGGACTAATCAAAATGAATTACTCTGGTTCTAAAATTGAATCGCGTTAAAAATTTGGAGGTGCACTTATAACATAAAAATTTCTGATGGAAAGTTCGCAACACTGTGGTGAATGTAAAAGCAAGGTTTATTCATTTTTTCTGGTGCATAATTTGCATCGTTCTGATGAATTCAAGCTTCATTGAAAAATTATGGTGGAAAATTTGCACCATTCTGCATGAAGAGGCAAAGCCTGAAAATTGCACCATTAAGGTGCATGGTGAAACAAACTTCACTGACAATTTTTGGTGCACCGTTCTGGTGAATGGAGGAGCATGCTTTATTGAAAATTTCTGGTGCAAAATTTGCATCGCTCTGATAAATGAAATGAACAGAATATTTCTGGTGGAAAACTTGCACTGGTATGGTAAATGAAGGCACAAGCTTTATTTAAAATTAAGCTATATTGGAATTTATGGTGGAAAATCTGCACCGTTCTGGTGAACGGATGGGCACGCTTTTCGGAAATTTTTTGGTCTTATATTTTCGGAATAGAGAAACAAATTTTAATAATAATTTCTGGTATAAAATTTGCACCATTCTGATAATTGGAGGAAAGCTGCTTTACTGAAAATTTATGATGAAAAATATGAAAATAGGGGCAAGCTTTATTTGCAAATGTCTGGTAGAAAATGGAAAAAGGAAATTGGCACCAATCAGAAGATTGGAGAAGCAATTTTAATTGAACATTAACGATGGAAAATTTGCATCATTCTGGTCAATTGAAATTTTCTGGTGTAAAATTTTCTGAGGGCAAGTTTGTATTGAAAATTTCTGGTGTATGATTTGCAACATTCTGCTGCATGAAGGGGCAAGCTGAATTGAAAAATCCTGATCTAAAAATTGCACAGTTCTGTTGAATGGAGGGGCAAGCTTTATTGGACATTTCTGGTAGAAAAACTACAACATTTTGGTGAATGAACAGACAAATTCAACTTGATTTCCGAGAAGAACGTAAAGGGTATTGAATTCTGAGGACAGTTCCAAAAGAAAAGATTGCTGGGGATGATTTCACGAAAATTCTGCGTATAATTTCTAATGAATCCTGCAGAAAGTTCCAAGATAATTTTGAAAAGAATACCGAGAGAATCAAATTTTGAATGAAATTCCAAAAGGATGTTGAGGAAAATTTCAAGGGAATGCCGAGGATAGTTTCAAGCTAATTCTGGGAAGAATTTCAGGAGAATACAGAGGAATTTTTTTTTTAAATTTTAGGGGAATTTCAGTTCCACAGTGTTTTGAGAATAAAAAAAGTTCTAAAATATTCCGAACCTCAAAGATATTGAATTCTTAGGAGAGTTCCAAAATATTTCTGTGGAGAATTTCAATAAAATTCTACGGACAATTTCTAGTGCATCCTGCGGATAGTTCCAAGATAATTTCGAAAATAATACCGAGAAAATCAAATCTTGAGTGAAATTCCAAAGGGATTTTAAACAAAATTTCAAGCGAACTCCGAGGATAATTTCTAGCTCATTTCAGGAAAAAATTCTGAAACTCTAAACGAATTTGAGTTTCACGGTGTTCTGAGAAAAATCATGAAGATATCTAAGCATAATTCCAGCGGACTTCTGAAAAGAATATCAAAAGAGCTCTTAGGAGAGTTCTAAAAAAATCCGCAAAGAACCGCATCCGGTGTTCGTATGGCGAAAATGGTCGTTGAAAGGAACATTGAGTCGTGGGTCACGATAGACGGGGAGATGACACAAGTGTCGTATTTCGGGCAACGTCAAACTTGCCGACACTGCCGGGAATACATCCACGTAGGAGCTACCTGTGTGCAGAATAAAAAACTGCTCGTGCAGAAGACGTATGCCGATGCCGCAAAGCAGATGAGTCCATCACCTAAGACTTCACAAACAACGAAGCAAAGCGCATCCACTGCGAACCCAACGAACACAATATTAAACTTCGTCACTCCTGGTGCCAACCAAACCAACACAAACTTGGCAAGTATGCAGCCGTCGAAACAAATTCCCCAACGAAAACAACAGAGGTTGTTACCACCACCGGTCGTCACTGATGAAAATTTTCCTACGTTAGCCTCTACCTCGGCTTCGCTTCACCCATCGGATAGCGGGCCGTTGAACCCCTCTACAGGTCAACAGCCCCCTGCTAGTGGCGGAGTGGATCGCAAAACTGCTAGTGGTAAGTCCGATGGAAACGAGACAGATTCATCTGTCTGCTCATCCAGCTCCAAAAGGCATCTCCGCACTCGTCCACCAGGCAAGAAGCCTCGAGTGGAGAACGACGACGATACGCGAGATGGGAGTAACCGACCGTCCTAATGGCTGAGTTCTCCAGTTATAACCTCGCAACTATCAACATCAACAACATCACGAACGCAACGAAGATCGACGCACTTCGGTCTTTCGTACGAACGCTGCAACTGGACATCGTTTTCCTTCAGGAGGTGGAGAATGAGCAGCTCTCTCTCCCTGGTTTCAACGTCGTCTGTAATGTGGATCACGCGAGACGGGGA